TTTGAGTAACTTTAACCAAAAGCCCTTTTGCCTGACATTTGGGTATCAGATCCATGTGGACTGCAAGTTAACAGCCTTACAACTACTTACTGACTTTGCATGTTGCTTTCCTGTAGGATTTCATGACTGAACATGTCTGTTGAAAACTATAATGCTCTTTTGTCACAGCTTCTGCAAACAAGAGAAGCTGCCCATTACGTTCCAGTCCTGTGTGATCACGAAGGAGTGCCAGGTGTCGGAGTGGTCGGAATGGACCCCCTGCTCCAAAACCTGCTTTGACATGACAACGCCGAAAGGCAATCGTACGAGATCACGGACCATAAAACAGCTCCCTGTCGGCAGCGAGAGCGAATGCCCGCAGTTAGAAGAAACAGAGCAGTGTGTTTCTCAAGGAGATGGTGTGGCACCGTGCATTACGTAAGTTGGTTTTTTTCTCTACACTAAAATGAAGAATTTCGAGTAAGCGTACAGGAGGCTGGTGAAGGAATATCAACCAAATCATTCTTAAAGAAATAATCGATTTGATTTTGTTTTATTTTTATCCTTCAGTTATTCAGGTTTCTACTTAGAAGCCTAAAGTCTGCAAAGAGCTGCTGTTGCAGTGAAATCACTTCCTCTTCTAAATACAGGAAAAAAGTCCACAAATATATATTTATATGGACTGAATGATCTCCAGGGGTCCCTTCCAACTCCTCATATTCCGTGATTCTATTTCATGAGTGTTAACTTTTAAAAGAGAACATTTGTGTGTATGCAGGCTCAGTCAAGGCTACAATGAATTGTATTAGTTTGTCAATGATCTGTTCCCGTCATAACATTTCTACCAGAATCATAGAATGGCCTAGGCTGGAAGGGACCTTAGAGATCATTTCGTCCAACCTCCCTGTCGCCAGGGACGCCACCTCTCGACTAGATCAGGCAACACATGGGGACCGAACGGGAATCGAACCCATGACCTTGGCGTGGTTAGCGCCACGCTCAACTGACTGAGCTAACCGGCGTTTTTTTCTGAAGTACTGTTTGCAGACCAAATGCTGAACATAGGCAAGAGGTGGTAAACAGCTGTTTAGAAAACAGACTTTTTTAGTGAGACTTTTATTCAGCACAGCAAAAGCAAAACTGGGCCCCAAATGGAAAGTGAGAAAGGCTAACAGTGACAGTAAATAAATTAATCCTGTTTAAAATTTAGGAGAAATGACAGCGAGCATTTTATGATTCAAGAGGTTGCTGTAATCCTTATCAGCTAATTGAGATTAATATTAAAGTCACAACTGTGCTTTATCAGCCTGAGAAGAGGGTCTGGGGAAATGTCATTTGATGTTAAGTACCTTTGACTGTGCTACATATTTTCCCTTTAAGAGTTGAAATCCCTATCTCCAGCCACATTAGGAAGCATTTCTCTTGATTTAGCCTTAAAGTACTTGTTGGGTAGAGAGTTCTGTGGCATTTCTTGCAGATCATAATCCTGATTGGGATTTTGACTGTGAGTCCTTCCCTGTGCATTCACTGATTAGAAAGCTCACAGCTTCTCATCGTTCATCAGTACCCAGCAGGGGTGCTTCAGTACTGCAGAGCCGTCTTCCTCTTGACGGTGAGAAAGGAACTTACTGAGAGGTTTTTCTGAAGTAATAACAAAAAAAAATACAATTATCCTTCTACCTTGATATTCAGGAGAAACTTCTGTCTCTCTTATCAAAGATGAACAACAGGCTTTTAGGTTTTGGGGGGTTGGGTTGTTGTGATTTTTTTTTCACTCTCCTTTTCTGGCACTTAAGTTTCTCAGCATGTACATTTCTTTGATATTTTGGCTTTGGTTCATTTAAATTGTCTAGCTCTAAACAAATGCCAGGAGTCATAGTCTTGAAAGTCAACTTATCTGAACATAGACTATATGTCTCTCTATATCAAGTTTTCCTTCTCTCCAATAAAATATTTATATATGCAGTATGTTTCAGGAATTTAGCAGAAAAAATTTTCCCAAAAAGTAAAGAATTCAGAAGTGGTATAGTAGAGGAAAGGTTTCTCCCACATAAAATATCAGATTTAACACATCTTTCTGCACAAGAAATTGTGGGGCTCAGGCCATTTAGAAAACGAATAAACCCATTAAGATCGTTCAACTTGTATGACTTAATGATGTGTTAAATGGCTTCATGATTTCTAAAAACCCAATTAAATGAATTCATTCCAGGTACGGTTGGCGGACCACGGAGTGGACAGAATGCCGTGTCGATCCCCTCCTTAGCCAGCAGGACAAGAGGCGAGGAAATCAGACAGCACTGTGCGGAGGTGGCATTCAAACCCGGGAGATGTACTGCGTGCAAGCTAATGAAAATCTTCTCTCCTATTTAAATACCCTCAAGGAAAAGGAAGGTAAATTTTATTCAATTGCCATTGAATTACTCTGAAATCAGAGCACTTCAGCCTCCTCGACAGTCATTGTCTTCTGTCATGAGTGCCTCCTGAACTTGCAGGTTCCTGTTATCTTCTAGTTCAGATGAAAATATTTAGTTGCAGGAGCAGATATTTCACTCTCTGTGATGCAAATACTGGTTCCTAGTAACAAATTTCTTAATATCTTCAGAAAAATACTGTCTTCTGTGATGTATGGCTCTCAGTAAGAAAGAGCACGAGAAGGTGGGTCAAAAATCCTAGATTCAGTTCCTTCCTCCACCATAAATTTCATGTATGTCCTTCAGTTGGATGATATACCACCCAACTGATGTGTAGATGGAATATGTCAATTCTGGCATATGAGCTCAATATAGAAATATGTAAAAATATTACTAATTTTCATTCTCAGGCAATTGATTGTGATTTGGTCAAGTTCTTACGTCTCTTTCAGGACTTCAAGCCCGTATAATTTCATGGATTTATTTCCCTAACTGAAAGAGAGAAGACATTATTCCTTGTCACTGTTACAGCTTGTACAGCTTAAGAAAAGAGAGAATAACTTACGAGACAAAATCTAATTCATCAGTTAATATACATACTTAAGATTAACACTTGAGTATTTTATGTTACGTCTACTTTTGCATACTAACACAGCACTATAGATTTAGAAATTAGTGAATTAAGCCAAATTAATTTAGCTTGTTAATTAAATTTTAACCTCTTCTGTAGCTACTTCACACAGGCATTATTATTATTGAAAATAAATAAACGGAGTCACGTACTTCAGAAGAAGCTACGTCATTATACAAGCCATGCGTAATACAACGTTTAGACCAGAGCTGACCAAACTGAAGGCTAGTGAGGTTCCTTGTGGGAGTTAAAGGTACTCTCAAACTTACTGCAGAGGTGAAATTTGTGGGGAATATTGATGCTGACATCTTTTTCAG